GTGCCGTGGAGTCGGTTCCGACTCATAGCCACCCTGTACAGGGTTTCCGAGGCTGTAAATCTTTACGGGAGCAGAAAGCCTCATCTTTCTCCTGCGGAACAGCTGGTAGTTTTGAATTGCTGACCTTGAGGTTCGCAGCCCGATTCGTAACCCCTGTGCTACCAGAGCTCCTTTCTTGAATGTCTTTTAAGTTTATGTCTAAACTGTAGGTAAGTGGGACCAGGTGCCTATGGTTTATATTTAGCCTTCCTTTAGTGCAAGAAAAGGCTCAAAGCCCTTTCAGTGATTTAAAGGCCCACATGCAGCAAGTGAAGACTATTGCCTTGATGACTGTTTCAAAGAGGGATTAGTTCAGTCATTTCAAAGTGAGCGCAAATCTACATTAACACTGGCAATGTAGGACCAGTTTGAACCACAAGGTCAGGGTTTCAAACTCACTAGTAGCTCCTTAGAAACCCTCTGTTGTTGTTAAGTGCCATCGAGTCAGGTCTGACCCATAGCAACCCTGTATAGGGTTTCCAAAGAGACGCTGGTGAGTTTGAACCACCAACCTTGCAGCTCAAACTGACTTTGCCGTCCAGCCTATTAATAGGACCATACTAGGACTCCAAAACAGGATCCATATAAGTGGAACTGACTCTGAGGCACTTAACACAACAACAAAGGCACTGTAGGATAAGCACTGGACCACAAGATTAATTTCAGCCACTCCTTGGAAACCCTATACAGGGAGGGTCGCTATGAATCAGAACTGACTTAGCAGTATTTAATAATAACAAAAGGCACCATAGGATCAGCACTGGACTGCAAACCACAAGGTTGATGGTTCAAACCATCAGCTGCTCCTCAAAAACCCTATACACAGTATGAGTTGGAACCAACTCAACAGCACTTAACAACAACAATAAAGGACAATTAGGAGTTGTCCATAAGTCACACATTGGTAACTTGGAGACTTACTGTATTAAAAAAGCAGGTAGCCACTCTAATCAGCATAACAATAGAAGGTTCTATCTAGACTAGGGATTTAAAATCTGAAACAAAATTCAAAAGTATAAAAGACAATATTTACTGGTCTGAAAGAGACTGGTGGGACACCCAAGACTGTAGTCCTTAGACATTGCCCTTCAAGCCTGGAACTGAATACACACACACACCAGATATCAATTTACAACAAATAGTTGATAGGTCTATAAAGTGAACTTTTATCACCAGGGAGAAATTAATTCCTCAGTACAATCAACCATATAAGAACAAAACCCAAAACAAAGCTCAGAAAGTAATTAGGGTCAGGAAACAAGGCTAGAATAAAAACAGGGAAGCCAGAGGGGAAGTGGAGAGTGCTGTTACATTTGAAGGTATTGCAACCAATAGCAGGAAACAAGATGTACATACAAACTATTGAATGGAAAGCTAATTTGTTCTTTACACCTTCACCCAAATGACAATAAAAAGCTTACAAAACAATACAAAAACCCCAGGTGACCTCAGGGTACTTTTGTTATGTGGCATCTTG